GCTTGAAAGAGGGCTTGCCGTGCGAAACCATTTTCGAACCAAACCGTCAAGTTTCCAGTGTTTCATTGAGAGGGTTTTTAGCAGATCGAACACATCTGATTGGTTCCCGCCAAAACTGAAAGAAGGAACACAGCACGTCAGGCGTCGCACATCAGTTTGGGAAGCTGCACAACACTAGCACTGCGATCGCTCATGCACGTCCTTGCGATTTTGTGCCCAGCTTGGGGTTCAAGTTGGGCCTGGGTGAACAACCACTACTTCTTTTGATCATACATCTCTGCTTCTGTTATTCGTAGCTTGTCTAGCCATAGAACCGTCAACTTAAGCCGTTATTGTTTTTAGACGCGTAGTGATGCTGGCACGGTTGTGTAGTACTTTGTGCTGTTTCGAATGCCCTCTCGCCGCCTGTCCATCTCATCTCGCTCGCCCTCCCGATCTGATCGTCCACGCTCCGTCCGTCCTAACGCCATCCCGTCGACCGTCGCGTCGCGATCTTGTCGTCCGTCCCGTCACCGTCTTGTCGCCCTTCTGTCGTCATCTCCATCACCCCTCTCCTCCAAACACCCTCGCGTTTTTCCCCTCGCCCTCTCTCTCTCGCCGCTCCCTTTCCTGAACCAATCGCCTTCTCCTCTCCCTTCTCGTAGCTCTCTCTCTTGCCACTTCCTTTCCGTCGCGCTCTCTCTCGGCACTCCCTTCCAGTCGCTCTCGGTCTCTCCCATCCCTTCCCGTCGCTCTCGCTTTCCCCCCTCCCTTCCCGTCGTTCTTGCTCTCTCCCCTTCCTACCCGTCGCTTTATCTCTCGCCAATCCCTTCCAGTCGCTCTTGGTCTCTCCCATCCCTTCCCGTCGCTCTCGCTCTCTCCCCTCCCTTCCCGTCGCTCTTGCTCTCTCCCCTCCCTTCCCGTCGCTCTCACTCTCGCCGCTCCCTTCCCGTCGCGCTCTCTCTCTCTCTCTCTCTCTCTCTCTCTCTCTCTCTCTCTCTCTCTCTCTCTCTCTCTCGCTGTTCCCTGCGCGTCGCTCTCTCTCACACCGCTCCCTTCCCGTCGCCCTAGATGCAGTCGTCGCAAAATCCTCTCCCACCCCCCATCACCCACCCCATCGCTTCTCCGCTCGCCACGAAACGCCTTCCCGTCTCCCACCCACTTCCTCTCATCGCCTGCCTCGTCGCCTTCGAGCTCGCACTCAAACACTCTCCCCACGCCCTTCCTCTCTCCCTCGTCGCTGTCGCTCTTGCTCTGTAATGCCCTCTCCGTGTCAAAATGCTAGGCCAAAACGAGAAACAGGCAAGAAGGGTTTTGACTAACAAGCATAGGGATACATATATGCAAACCCTAGAAGGGCTGTACTCGCTATAGAGTACCCCACTGCAGGCTAGACAACCATCACATTCTGACACACCCCCATAGTCAAAGTGGGGTACAATCAACATAACAAGCAGACAGAGCAATAGTTCACAATTATAAGCAAAGCTAGAGGCTATCACAGAGGGCAAGTGAGGAGGAGGAGAAACTGTGGGAGCAAGAAGATGAGAGGCGACGGCTGAAGCTGCAGACACACAGGCAGCAGGAGTACGCCGCACTGACGCTACCAGGCTAAACCCGGACTACACGGCGACAGGGGGTCGCAGCTGGCTCGCTGTGCTCCCAGGAGTGCACACACTGTAGCTACCGGGCGCAGAGCCCCGGACTACTCAGGCCACAGGGGGTCGTGGCTCCCTGGACTTCAGGCGCTGCGGACGACAAGTCGACGGCCTCCTCTCAACTTCCCCCAGCTGTCCCACCCCCTTTTTACACACCCCCTGCTGTTCCCCTAGCACCGCTCACACTACACCCCCTAGCGCCACTCCCTCGGCTCCCACACACCCACCCCCCTCAGCGGCAGCTGCAGCAGTGGGAGACGAAGGAGGAGGAGGAGGAGGGGAACGGCACTCAGTGGCTTCACCCCCATACCCCTCACCCCCAAACCCTAATTCAGGAGAACGGGCTGTAGGAGGGGTGGGGCGCCAGTAGAAGCACGGGGGACAGTGGGGAGGGCAGGGGCAGCGAGGAACGGGCCGCCCACGGGCCTGGCATAGCCGCCCGAACCGCGCGCAGGCGGCCCGAGCCGCGCGCGGGCCTGGCGCTTCCCGTACGGGCCGCGCGCGGGCCTGGCGCAGCCCGTACGGGCCGCGCGCCGGCTGTACGGGCCGCGCGCAGGCCACGACGGGCGACGGGGGGCGACGCGCGGGTCCCCGTCGCCCGTCGCAGCGCCTCCCGGGGGCGACGCGCCGAGTGACGGGGCAGAAAACCGCCGCGCGCCTCGGGCGCGCGGCGGGAAGAAAAAATCGCTGCGCGCCCGGAGCGCGCGGCAGGCAGGAAACAGCAGCGGAAGCTTCTGGTGGGACCACCCACAGGATCGACCCAGGAGGGTCGACCCGCTCTGATAGCATGTCAAAATGCTAGGCCAAAACGAGAAACAGGCAAGAAGGGTTTTGACTAACAAGCATAGGGATACATATATGCAAACCCTAGAAGGGCTGTACTCGCTATAGAGTACCCCACTGCAGGCTAGACAACCATCACATTCTGACACTCCGCGCCCTCCGTCCCTCCCCGCATCCCGGCGTTCTTCACTTTCTTTATTTTTATCTTCTTCGCCTGATTTAACCTGTGTGTGCCATGGTGGATTTTGCTTGATCATGCCTGTGTTTGCGCAGGATTTTGCCTGTTTTTGCCTGTGTGCGCGCTGCGATTTTGCATGTGTGTGCGCTGGTTTTTGTATACGTGAATTCTTGCATGTGTGTACGCTGGCTGCTCTGGGGAATGTGGGATGGCAGGCTTGCGCCAAATTAGCTCACTGGTTTGGGTGAAAGTCGCATCCAATCAGATTTGTAAACAAGCTCCACATGCTTCCCGTTCACCGTGAGACTCGACTGGGGTGTAAAAAGATATAAACGCACGTTTTCAAGTGGACCCAACTAGAAGGGGGGGGGTCACTATTTTAGCTGCTGGCTTTAAGCCGTACACCCTAAAAAACATAATGACAGTTGATAAATAAGTGTACCCCGGGTCTTACCCTATTCGACCAGGGCCCACGTTATCAGGACAAAACATCCTGATTACCCTGAATTCAGGATGCACTTCTGTATTTACCCTGCAATTTCAGAATAGTCATAATTTTAACCCTGAGGTCACAGGATGTTTTTATGTGAAATGCCCTGGAGTTTCAGGATGGCCGTAGTGTTCTTCCCTGTAGCGTCAGGATGAATGTCGAGGCCTGCCCTGACGCGGATTTTGGTGGGGGGCGGGGGGGGGGGGCGGGGGAGGGGGGGTAAGGGGGGGTGTTCCGTTTCGGGGGAAATTTTTTCCCCGAGGATTTTTGTCTCCGTTGAAATTTTCCCCCGTGTACGTTTCCCGCCTTCGCACGTTCTCTTCCCCTTGACATTTCCGATCCCCCGCTACACCAGCCAAGCCAACCCCACCCCATCACCCACCGCCAAGGCAACTCGTCCTCTGCCTGGCTAGCTCTAGCTGGGTTTCTCACGCTGACGTTCAGTAGCACTCCATCCAACACCCTTGCAGTGTTGCTGTTAGAGTAGCAGCAGCACTAGTACCGTCAGCCCCCGGATAGAAGCGCCCCTGGGGGTATAAAAAAACACTGTTTTTTAGGGGGTGCGCTTATAATTGAGGAATTTTATAAGAGCCGGCGCTTATAAAATGGCAAAGCAAGTTTATATTTGTTTTACACCAATCTGTACACCTTGTTCTGCCAATTGTAATCGAGTCGAATATATCTGGGGTCGCGAATCTGATTCTCGCGCAACTTACGGTAGTTGGGATGTATTCCCTGCCAACACATGCTGACTAAGTGACAGCACGTGCTGACTAGACGCGCAGCAAGTGTGATGTGAGTGGGAAAGTGGACCTGTACTTCGATTCCCTGGTAAAGAGAAATTCGTTTCTGCGTTTCGACTGATTTTCAGATTAAAAAATAGACATGCGCTTATAATAAATCAGAATTTTTTAAGGGGTGCGCTTATAATCGAGGACCGGATATAAGCGCCCTCATCCTTTTATAAGCGCCGGCGCTTATCCGAGGCCTGCGCTTCTATCCGGGGGCTTACGGTAGTGAAGTTCGGCTGCGGCTGCTCTGCTATGCTAAACAGAGTCTGGTCTGGTCTGTTTGTCTACACTACAATTTTTGCCCTGACAGGTCAGGATTATTTTCTGCAAAAGCCCTGACCAATCAGGAAGGCTCTGAAGATTTGCCCTGAGAAATCAGGGCATTTTTTTGGATTCTAGAAAAGTGCCCTGAGGGCTCAGGGTGTCCCAAAACCTAGCACGGGCCCTGTATTCAACCGTCATAATGTCCACCCTAGCACTTTTTGGAGCATTTGTAGAGAGTCCACCGGGTCCAATAGGTGGCACTTTACGGTATGTCTCAACTTCACAACTGGTGAAGCATGAAATGTATGAGCCCACTAACTACAGCCTCCCCTACCACCCCATTAGCCGCATTCGGTTCTCTACTCCAGAAGTGCGGTGCATAAAAACACGTGTAATGCCGGTTTCCATAAGGGCAATTGCCCAGATAGTGAGGCATTTCAATCATCCACCCGTCGAAAACCGGCACCGAGGGCAGCGACAGCTGGGATTGGGAATTCTCTCCGTCACTGTTCCCAGAACCCTTTTCAGCACCCTTTCCAGCAGCCATGCTGCGCATGATTCGATTGAGTGCCATGATGCCCAGGTTGGTGGACGGGCCGACAGACGCGCTCGTATAATGCGCGCAGTGGTGGCCTGCATTCGGGAGGGGCGTCGCCGTCCGCAGCACCAGCGGCTTGCCATTTTGGGCGGCGAACTGCAACCCCCAGTTGAGGAACTCTGGGAGGTGGGCGCGAAAGGCTTTGATTGGTTCTCCGCAGAACCTATTTGTCCAGGAGCCGGCGTTCATGATGGTGACGTCAGCAGTGCGAGAGAGGACGTCTGGGAATGAGTTGGAGTGGTTGCTGGTTTTGCCTCTGTCACTGTCGGGGTGTTCGAGGGAAGGGGAAGGGCAGGAAAGGGCGGAAGGTGGAGGGGAAGAGGAGGGGTTTAGGATTATTAATGATTGTTCTTATAGCAGTCAGTGACGTCAGCTGAGGCGAATGTGGAGGTGTGGGAATGAAGAGGAAGAGGAGGGGTTTAGGATCCTGTATCCCAGCTCCACACTCCAGCTCCACACTCCCAATGCTTGTGGATGATGGGCTGTGATGAGGTGCAGGATAAGGAATGCCCAAAAGTTTCAGAGGTGGGGGAGGTGGGAGAAGAAACTTGAGATGGCATCACTTCACGGTCACACCCACCCATGGTCACACCCACCCATGGTCACACCCAACCACCTCCGCACACTCACCCGCAGCCAAACTCCCCGTTGCGGTAGATGCCATCAACCCAATACCAGTTGATTCTGAACGTCTCCCCTTGTGCATTGGTGGAGCGGAAGGTGTAGTTGAAGCGGGGATCGGGCAATAAGGGCCCCGTGTCCCCCGAGAGCAGGAAGTGCAGGTGGTTGGCCAGCCCCCTCTGGTGCGAGTTCCCCACTATGTTGATCTCCTCTATGCCCTTGCGCCGTAGATCCGAGATCCAACGGCTGGGAGGCGACAATGGCGGCGCACAGGGGAAGAACGTCCAGCTGGAGGGGCGGGGGTGGATGGGAGGGGAGGTGATAGAGGGGAGGGAGTGTGTTCTTTGAGAATTCTCAAAAAATGAAGGGAGGTGATAGAGGGGAGGGAGTGTGTTCTTTGAGAATTCTCAACAAATGAAGGGAGGTGATAGAGGGGAGGGAGTGAGAGGGAGGTGATAGAGGGGAGGGAGTGTGTTTTTTGAAATTTCTCAAAAAATAAGGGACGTGATAGAGGGGAGGGAGTGTGTTGAGCAGGGTGAGATGGGGTGAGAGCAGGGTGAGATGGGGTGAGAGCAGGGTGAGATGGGGTGAGAGCAGGGTGAGATGGGGTGACAGCAGGGTGAGATGGGGTGACAGGGTGAGATGGGGTGACAGCAGGGTGAGATGGGGTGACAGCAGGGTGAGATGGGGTGACAGCAGGGTGAGATGGGGTGGCAGTGGGTGAGAGGGGATCACTCACGTGTAATTGCCAGTGCTGTCCCTCTTCCAGCGACCGGGGATGGATCCAGGTGTGCAGGGCGTGGCTAGTCTGCTGAGGGAGGCAGCACCGTTACCAGCAGCACCATCTGTGCCTGCAGATGCAAAAACGCCCCCAGAAGCTGATTGTTCAGGCCAGCCAATAGAGAGACTCCACGTGGCAAGGTCATGGCGGAAGGTGGAGTTGAGATGGGCGGCAAAGTCAGGAGAGAAGTTGAGGTTTAAACAACCCACAGAGAGAGTGGCACTGGAATGGGGAGAGCAGGGGGGTGAGGAGAGCGGAAGAGTGATTGTGAGGGGGTGAGTGGGAAAGGGTGAGTGGGAAAGGGTGAGTGGGAAAGGGTGAGTGGGAAAGGGTGAGTGGGAAAGGGTGAGTGGGAAAGGGTGAGTGGGAAAGGGTGAGTGGGAAAGGGTGAGTGGGAAAGGGTGAGTGGGAAAGGGTGAGTGGGAAAGGGTGAGTGGGAAAGGGTGAGTGGGAAAGGGTGAGTGGGAAAGGGTGAGTGGGAAAGGGTGAGTGGGAAAGGGTGAGTGGGAAAGGGTGAGTGGGAAAGGGTGAGTGGGAAAGGGTGAGTGGGAAAGGGTGAGTGGGAAAGGGTGAGTGGGAAAGGGTGAGTGGGAAAGGGTGAGTGGGAAAGGGTGAGTGGGAAAGGGTGAGTGGGAAAGGGTGAGTGGGAAAGGGTGAGTGGGAAAGGGTGAGTGGGAAAGGGTGAGTGCGAAAAGGTGAGTGGGAAAGGGTGAGTGGGAAAGGGTGAGTGGGAAAGGGTGAGTGGGAAAGGGTGAGTGGGAAAGGGTGAGTGGGAAAGGGTGAGTGGGAAAGGGTGAGTGGGAAAGGGTGAGTGGGAAAGGGTGAGTGGGAAAGGGTGAGTGGGAAAGGGTGAGTGGGAAAGGGTGAGTGGGAAAGGGTGAGTGGGAAAGGGTGAGTGGGAAAGGGTGAGTGGGAAAGGGTGAGTGGGAAAGGGTGAGTGGGAAAGGGTGAGCGAGAAACACTTAGAATTGTGAGAAACGAAGTGAGGAGAGAAGTTGAGTTTGGAACAACCCACGGCGAGAGTGGCACTGGGATGGGGAGAGCAGGGGGGTGAGCGGGTAGAAATAGGGACTATGAGGGGGTGAGGCGGGTGGGAAAGGGTGAGTACGAAAGTGTGAGTGGGGAAGGGTGGGAAAGGCCACTATTGGAGTGGCGAGAAAGGAAGAGAGCATCCCAGTCCAGTTTGCAGAAAGACAACGTTGCCAACAAGGACAAGTGCATGAAGTGAGGGGCTAGTGGATTGGCAGGGAAAAGGGCGAGAGTGGGACAGCGCACATGTAGCGTACCTATAATCTCCGACGTCCCAGAGGCGGTAGGAGATGAGGAAGTGCGAGCAGGCAGGGGGGTCGGTGCACTGCACGTCCCCAGTGCCCAAGGCCGGGCCCTCCAGAGTCAGAGTCAGGTCGTCCGTCAACCAACTGCTCTCATTGCTGCTGCTGCTGTTGTTGCCGTTGTTGTCCGCGTGACTCCGATTGGACCCCAAGGGCGGGATCCAGTGAGCAGGCGGCATGACCCACACGTGTATGCTGCACTCCTCCCCCTGCACGCACCCACTGCATCCCCTGCCACCCACCACCACTCCCCTTCCTGCTGCCGCTGCTGCTGCTGGGGCTGCTGCGCCTTCTGAGGGGGCTGCTGCGGTTGCTGCTTCTCCTGGTGAGGTGTGGCTGAGCAGAGCATCTGCAAAGGATTGGAGTTGAGGAGTTGGGGGTCAGGTCACATGGGTACTCTTAGAACCCCAACTACGCCTGCCTCTGCTCTGCTGCACGCAATTTCCCTGAAAAGCACCAAGGAGGCAGCTGCTGCTGCTGCTGCTGCTGCCACTCCCCCTCCTTCTGCTGCTGCTGCTGCTACTGCGCGTGTGGTGGGGCTGACCAGGGCATCTGTGACAAAAATAGGGGCTGAGTGGTTTGGGGGCACACTGGAGAGAATACACTTAGCACCTCTCTCCCAACTGCCCCTGCCCCTTGCAAAGCTGCTGCTGCTACTCGCCGTGGTGCTGCCGCTGCTGCTGCTGGCGGTGCTGGCGACGGCAATGGGCCATGCGAGGGATCGGGGCCACACAGAACGGGTGATTCATATCCTCCTGCCTCACCTGCCTGCCTCGCCCTCGCTGCTTCTTGCAGGGGGGGGGACGAGCAGCGTTGGGAGGGAGCAGCGGGGGGAGCGAGCAGCGTTGGGAGGGAGCAGCGGGGGGAGCGAGCAGCGTTGGGAGGGAGCAGCGGGGGGACGAGCAGCGTTGGGAGGGAGCAGCGGGGGGAGCGAGCAGCGTTGGGAGGGAGCAGCGGGGGGAGCGAGCAGCGTTGGGAGGGAGCAGCGGGGGGAGCGAGCAGCGTTGGGAGGGAGCAGCGGGGGGAGCGAGCAGCGTTGGGAGGGAGCAGCGGGGGGCACGAGGGGGGAGGGGGGAGGGTGTACCTGAGGGCCTGAGGGGGGAGGGTGTACCTGAGGTCCAGCAGATGTGTTGAGACGCATCGACTGGCAGTCGCGTTGATTCCCTGCCCTCGAGTCGCGGGATCCCCTCGGGATTGTCCGCTCTGCTCAGATCCGACTCGCCGCTGCCTGCCTGCCAGGCACAACGGCAAGCGGATTGGCTCGCTCGGCCATGTAGCACGCGAATCGGATGGAAAAATCTGATCCCCCAGCTCGGGCTACTTATCGCGGCTCCTTAGCTCGTCTACTTATCGCGGCTCCTTAGCTCGTCTACTTATCGCGGCTCCTTAGCTCGTCTACTTAGCTCGGCTACTTCGCGGCGCGCGAGCAGTTCGCGGCGCGGGGTCATGGCGCAAAGATGAGCAGCGCACAGCTGGCATGGAGGGAGTGGGGTGCATCACACGTGGAGTGCATTGCTTGCAACGCGCACCTGCGGGATGGCGATGTCACCCGCGAGAGCTCCTGATTCCGGCCCTGACGCAAGCGCCATAGCTCCTGGTTCTGGGGAGTGGTTGAGCGGTGTGGCGGAGGCAGCGGCGGGATCGGGCGGTACTTGCATGATGGGGAGCTGGCGAGTCGGCTGGAGCAGCAGCGGTGCGCACACGAGCAGCAGCACGACGAACCCGCCAATAGCTATCGGCAGCCATTGGTGACGGACTACTGAGCGCCAATACGCATCCACAGCCATTTCTGACCGCCTCTTGCGCTGGACATGCGCGTCGCAGGAGCGACTTTGAGGATTCTCAAATGTGCCGCTTGAACGGGACACGCGCGGCGTGCAGGAGCGGGACGGTCAGTCCAGGAAGAAGCCTGCAGGTTTACGGCTTCGGCTTCTAATACGCGTCCTGGCATCCGTCCTCATCTGACAAAACGCGTTCGCGTTGGGCGGTGGTTTAGAAGAGCAGAGTGCCACGTGGCGGTTGGGAAATCTGTAAATTCTTGAAGGGATTGGATGAAGAAGATAAGACTGGGATTGGTTTGGGGAACTGTTTGGGGTAAACCACCGATGAACAGTTAACACTCCTTTTCCTTGCGTAATTATGCTACATTGTAAAATTTTGAAGTAATACAAATGGCAGATGAACAGTTAACTACCCCGTAACAGAATGTATGGTACTACAAGATAACGAGGTCAAAAAAGGCTAGACCGAACTGCAAGAGTGTTATGAGTTGTCAAACAGAGTTGCGCGGAAATAAAAATGAATAACGAAGCTTGTGGGTAAATGAATTGATCGTACAATGAAAGGCACGTGTTACGGGTGCAATGGACATAGATAGCTAGGATTGCACTAGGTGTCAAAACGAGTACAAAGTATGAGCGAAGGCATGAGCGGATTTTTACACGCGAAACACGCAAACGTAGCTAGCTAGTGCTAGGCTGGCATCGAGGTTCGGACTAGTTCCAAAGCGTAGGCCGACTCGGCAGGGCCAGCGATGCATGGTTTGGAAAAACAGTGCGCGCAAAGTTGGTGAAGCCCCGTAGCAGATAATGGGCGAAAAGCGGCTGGTACTGTAGGCGATGTTGAAGAACGCAGTAAGGAATGCGAAAAATTCCAGCACGCGATAACATAGCGCGTTGCGAAAATGTTTGTAGGCTTTTTCTTATTAAGTGCACTGTTCGAAGTGTACTTGCGAACCTCGCCATAGGGAGAGTGTTGAGTGTTAAATTTACCATCGAGCTACATAGGCGCAACAGTACATAGTGGTTGCGACCCTCATGGCAATCAAGGAGTCGCCATCTACAGTGGGCAGCGTGTATTGCATGTGAAACTGTCCTCTGTGGAGCGCGACAGGATACCGCGGCCTTGCCGAAGTTGAATCATCTCGCCTTCGTGACTGTAACAAGGCAATTCAAGCGACGCAGCGCAACTGTTAGACAGTTGCGCCTTGGTAACCGTCTCCCTTATGCATTTGCTATATAACAGAATGTAATGTCTTCTTATTATTACACAATTCTCAGCCATGCGTCCGACAATACCCTCAGCCGCCGCTCTGGCATCAAGTTACGAGCAAGGAGAGCTACCTCTGACTAACCATAGCCCCGCTGCAGGGACGTCGTGTCAAACTATATATGTGTTAGTTCTGTGTAGGCTATAGTGGGGTAGCCCATATGGGGTACAACCCAAAGTTAGGGTTAGTACTTGTACCCACATTTCATTCAATGCAGCCATTCCTTCTTAGTATTCTGACATGGTTTCAGAGCAGTAGGTCCGTAGGACCGTTTTTTCCGGGCCCACCATACTTAGCGACTGACTGTGGTTACCGCGTTACCCCACTACCCTGCGTTGCGCCGCCAGCGCACGCCCTGCCCTGCCCTGCCTTGCGTCACACTTCCCGTGTACACCCTGCCCTGCCCCGAGTCGCGCTGCCCCGCGCACGCCCTGCCCTGCCCCGCGTCGCGCTGCCCCGCGCACGCCCTGCCCTGCGTCGCGCTGCCCCGCGCACGCCCTGCCCTGCCCCGCGTCGCGCTGCCCCGCGCACGCCCTGCCCTGCCCCGCGTCGCGCTGCCCCGCGCACGCCCTGCCCTGCCCCACGTCCTGCTGCACGTCGCGCCTTGCTGCCCTGCGCGACGCGCCCTACGGCAGCCCGCGCGTCGCGCCCTGTTGGCCCGCGCGTCCTCTGGTGCAGCCCGCGCGTCGCACCCTGCTGCCCCGCGCGTCGCGCCCAGCTGGAGCCCGTGCGTTGCGCCCAGCTGCCCCGTGACGCGCGCCCGTGCGTTGCGCCCAGCTGCCCTGCGCGTCGCGCCCTACGGCAGCCCGCACATCGCGCCCTGCTGCCCCGTGTGTCGCGCTCTGCTGCAGCCCGCACGTTGTGCCCTGCTGCCCCGCGCGCCGCGCCCTGCTGCAGCCCGTGCGTTGCGCCGTGCTGCCCCATGAAGCACGCCCTGCTGCCCCGTGCGTCGCGCCCTGCTGCCTTGCGAGGCGCGCCCTACGGCAGCCCGCGCGTCGCGCGCTGCTGCCCCGCGCGTCGCGCTCTGCTGCAGCCCGCGCGTCGCGCCCTGCTGCCCCACGCGTTGCGCCCTGCTGCAGCCCGCGCGTTGCGCCCTGCTGCCCCGTGCATCGCGCCCTGCTGCAACCCGCGCGTCTCGCCCTACAACCCTGCACAACGAGCGCCCTGATGCCCGTGCCGCCCAGCCCGAGCCACCCTGCCCAACCCGATCCACCCTACTACTCATACTACTGCTGCTGCTACTGGAGGTGCTGCAGCCTAGCCTCACCGAGCCGCTCTGCTGCTCTTACTGCTGCTGCTGCTGCTACTCGTGCTACTGCCATCAGTCCGTAGTGCCCTAGAGGCCGCGCTCCTCCTAGCTTGCCCGCTATAACATCAATTCGTAGTAGCGGTGGGAGTGGTGACGGCGGTGGTGGCAGCAGTGGGAGTGGTGGCAGCAGTGGGAGTGGTGGCGGCCGTAGTAGCAGTCATTGTGGAGCTGTTCGGTGCAGAGTTTCTGGCGGTGGCCAGATGCAGCTACAGCGGCGTCCGACCCTTAGGCCCTACCAGCTTCGTGAGTAGCTTTACCAGCGTGGGACGCCTCTGAGTACTGCTCGCTGCCCGTACGTCATTCGCATAGGTTGTCGGGCTGGTCAAACCTGTGGGTCAGCTGGTCACGCACAGTCCCGCTGCTTCTCCTATTTGAGTGACGCCTGGCACGCAGAGTTTGGCGACGAGGCTGAGCTCCCCCACTGGCTAGAGCTGCTTAGGTCGGGCGTCGATGTCTTTGCTTTAGACTATGATGCCATCCTTACTGCCATGTATGCTTTGCCTAGTGGTGCTGAGGGTGACTGTTACCTGTGTGTGCAGCACGACCCCGGTATAGAGGCTGCTGCTCTAGGTGCTAGTGAGGCTGCTGCCTTAGGTGCTAGAGAGTCTGCTCTCTCAGGTACTGCGCCTGCTGAGGCCTTGCACACCTTCACGCTTGACTCAGGTGCTTCCCGCTGTTTCTTTCGTGACAATACACCACTCACGCCACTCCCTACACCTGTTGCAGTGTCTCTGGCTGACCCCTCAGGGGGCCCAGTTCTTGCACGGTCCACCACTGTGCTTCCGTGCCCGGCGGTTCCGTCTGGCTCACTGTCAGGTCTTCACCTCCCCTCGTTCTCTATGAACTTGGTGAGCACCGCAGTTCTCCAGGACCAGTGGATTGACACCTTTACCCATGAAGGACATTGTGTGGCGATCTGTACGTGCTCCCGGACCTGCCGCCACCTGGCCACGTTTACCCGTCGGCCAGGGTCGAGTCTTTACACACTGACGACTGCGCCTCCTCAGGTAGCTGCTACTGGTCAGGTGTCTGCGTCAGGTCAGGTAGCCTCCCCTTGTTCGTGTCGCTCCTTGTCGCACCAGACTCTTCTCTGGCACCACCGTCTGGGTCATCCCTCCTTGCCACGTCTACGTGGCATGCACCGTCGCCTCCTTGTGTCTGGTCTTCCCAGGTCTCTCCCTTTCCTCCCTGCCTTGCCTAAGCCGCCCTGCCTTCCATGTGTCGAGGGGCGGCAGCGCGCCGCTCCTCACTCCTCGTTTCCCCCGACAGAGGCTCCCCTGCAGACCCTCCACATGGACGTGTGGGGCCCAGCCCGCGTTCGTGGACAGGGCGGCGAGCGGTACTTTCTGCTGGTTGTCGAAGAATCCTCACGTTACACCACGGTCTTCCCCTTGCGCACTAAGGGTGAGGCCCCTGCTGTCCTGATCCCTTGGATCCGAGCAGTTCGTCTCCAGCTCCGCCGGCAGTTCCAGACGGACCTTCCTGTCCTGCGTCTGCACTCTGACAGAGGTGGTGAGTTCTCCTCCGACCTCTTGCGGGCCTTCTGTCAGGGGGAGGGCATCCTCCAGTCGTTCACGCTTCCGGGCTCACCGCAGCAAAATGGGGTTGCTGAGCGCCACATTGGCTTGGTCATGGAGGTCGCTCGTACCTCCTTGATCCATGCGGCTTCCCATTTTCTGTGGCCGTTTGCGGTCCGGTACGCGGCGCATCAGCTCAACCTCTGGCCCCGCCAGAGGCCTCGCCCACACTGCCTTGGACGGGAGAGGTTGGCGATGCGTCACGTTGTGTTCCAGGTCCGGGTGCTCGTACCCTTGTCTGCGATACGTCCGCGGACAAGCTCTCCTCCCGCACCATTCCCTGTGTCTTCCTTGGCTTCCCCCCTGATGCTCCTGGCTGGCAGTTTTACCACCCCACCTCGCGCAGCGTTCTGTCCTCTAAAGACGTCACCTTTGATGAGTCGGTTCCTTTCTACCGTCTCTTCCCCTACCGCACTGCCCCTCTCCCTCCCCCGCCGCTTTTCCTCGCTCCAGGTCCCCCTCCGGTAGACCCCCTTCCCCCTCAGGGTCTTGCTCCTTCAGGTGTGTCTCAGGTAGACCCACTCCCCTTGGCTGAGCCTGTCGAGGTCACTATCGACTCAGGTGCTGTTGTGGGTGGTGCTGCTAGGGGTGCTGCGTCTGGGGGTGCTGAGCCTGTGCGTGAGGTGCTGGGGGGTGCGGAGCCTGGGGGTGCTGAGCCTACGAGTGCGGAGCCTGAGGGTGCTGAGCCGGAGGGTGCCATGTCGGGGGGTGCTGAGTCTGCTAGAGTTCCTCCGGGTCTCTTTTCATGACGGGGGCCTCTCTCACCACAGCATGTGAGAGTGGCTTGCGTGGCGTGCCCGCCTGAGGAGTCGTGGTGCTGGAGCTGGAGGTCCTGCTGCTGGAGGTACTGCT